GTGTACCACTCATGCTCCGAAAAAAATAATTTACCTGAACACTTTCTACCCACACCTACACAATGCGGATAAATCCACAGTGCCAGCTCCCCATGTCCTCGTGCATTTCACAAGCTCTCCAACGCTGACAGGTAATGAATAACAGAGATCCTCAGGAATGGAGGACTTCTGATAAATCACATCCAACACAGCTTTTATCCCACCTTCATCACCAGGATCTGGAGAAGTGTACCGCTGCATCAGCTTCGACTGAAATGGGCATCCCAGCGGTGAGGGTTTGTCTGCTAATCCTTCAGCATTATCCCTGCTCTCCTATCATGGACTGCAGCAGCAGACAGCTCCTGGTCGTTGCCCCCATCACAGGTGCTGAGTGAAGTGCTGCTTACGACCCAGAGAGGTAAGTTCTGCACTAACTTCTCCAACTGCACTTACAGCAAGGCGTGTTGCTCAAGCTAAGCTCGTGGCAAGCACAAGACAGGCAAGTCTCCCTGTCACGGCAGTCACTGCTGCTTCAGTATTCATGGCAGGCTACACACCTCCTACAAATGCTACAAAGCAAACCTGGGAATCAAAAAGTGAGAATATGCCTTCCACTGAGATGCAAAGAAAGTTCTGCTGCATTCCCTAATAACTTTCTCTCTCTGGTAGAACTAGCAACATCCCAGCTGCGTCCGAGTGCAATTCCTGTGCCAGATGAGCCCTGACTGACAGAAGTGCATTTTCCCCCTAGTAGGTGCTCAAGGAGAGTAGTAGAGCAGAATGGGCTTTTGAGAAATTATAAACACAAATGGAAGATGTCTTATGCAATTCACACATTTCCAATTATTCTAACTAGCAGGTAATCTTTTTACAGAATTAGGCATCACCCCCATTTTGACTAGTCTAATTTTATAGGGGTTTGTCACAAGTTCTTCTAACTGTAAATGCCAAAGTTTATAACATAACATGCTGACTACTAATTTTGAATACATATTAGTTCTTTCTGGGATAATCCACCCTCATACGCAGCACGACTCTACTCTCTGATGCACACACGCTCCTGAAACCTGGACTAGACCAGAAGTTTATAGCAATATCAACACTTCCTGTGCAAAACAATTCCATGAAGGTATTGTCATCCTGCGGAAAATTAAGTAAACCTTTCACTAGGCTTGTTCCCGAAGAGCTATTAAGCAAAGGCAGTTTGTCCTCAAGGAAGATAAGGACACCTTCTGAAGGAACTGGTTTGGCTAGTCAGCTATCTTGCTGCTAAAGCTAGCATATTCCAGTGATTTCAGTGATACATGGATACCTAAATGCAAAAGTCAGCCCTGAGGAACATAATGGCATTGTGTGACACTCCCCGAAAATCTCTCTTTATAAATTAACAAATAAATTACAGTGGACTACTCCGATTGTAAAGTCTCCAGGGCATTGATCTTGACTTCCTATTTATCTGGAAATCCCTTAATATACTCTTAATGTAAGAAAAAATATATTTGTATTCACTATCACTTCAGTGCCTAGCTTGTTCACCACGAACACCTGCTCCTCTGAGGGGCCAATCTCTTTTGTAACATTTTGCACAGTCATTGCATTTTGCAGACTGCCTGAATTAAGAAGATGACTGCTAGCATTTTCCTTCCCTTCCCTATTTGTCAGAAATTGCTCTTAACGATGGGACTTGAGTTTCATTCTTCATCATTCACACACTGAGGCACTAGAGGAAGAGCAGGTCTGTACTCAAGACTATTTATTTCTATTATCTCACCAAAGTGAGCTGTATCAGTATCTAAGTTTCCATATCTCTCACTGCATTTACCATCAAGACTACACAGATTTATTTCAGTTTCCAAATCCAAAAAAAGTTTGGTCACTTACCAAGGAAAATAAGAAATAATAAATGTTTGCACAGACAAGACCTCATATAATAAATACCTAAACACACATATTAGCTCCTCTCTCCACATAGAAAATTCCACTTTTATTAGCGATAATACAAATACAGGAATGAGAGAACAGTGTACCAGCAATCTTGGGAGTGTAACAGGAGCATGCAACATCCTTCACGTGGTACCTGGCGCCAGGCAGGCAGAGAACATGACTCCCCCACACAAGCTGTGGATGTATGGGCAGCTGCCTGCTCCCACTGCAGGCACATCTCACAGGCATCTCCTGCCAGATCTCTGCTCCCACAGAGCAGTGGCCAGGTCACACTGAAGTGCACCTGGAAAGGCACTGGATGCTTGCACATAACTGGGCCAAGCTTTACACAACCCACAAAGACTAGTCTGCTTGTGTACATATGTCACAAGTAAGCACAGAATAATATACTGTGCAGAAACTACAAGACAACGTGAAGAGCTGCAACGCACAAGTACAGACACAGCCCACAAGCAAACACTGCGCAGGATATTAGATGAAGCTTCTTCATTTCATGCGAAAATGAATGCCTCAACATCTCTAAAAACCTTATTCCTTTGCTCTCCAGGAAGCAACGTAAGACACCAGGTACAGAAAGGTATCACCTCTAACTTCAGCAGCTGCCCAGCATGCTCACATGCACACTCCCATCCCACAACGGCTGCAGCTACAGATCAAAACTAGAGATACAAAGCCAACAGATAGCAACAAAAAGCAGTCTGCTGAACTGTAGCACTGTCACCAAGCACTGACACACAAAAAGGACGCGGGTCAAATATGTTCAGTGTAAGTGGCACGCCAGCTATCACAGGTATTTATCTCAGGTACCACCAGGCAGGCCATCCACCTAAGAGGAAATCCACATGAGTTGCACGGGGGGTTAATGTGGGCCATTAACATCAGAGCGGGTAGACTGAGGAGGGTATTGATCCCTGTGAGTGTACTTCAGTTGGGCAATGCTGTTTGTTTCTAGAATATGCTCAGTTAGCGGGTTTTTGGTATCCTCATGACTACAGTGTTATAACTAAACCTGTTTTCTCTCATCCATATTCAAAAAACTAATTCTAAAATTTTGGGAAAAGACAATTGTATTTAAATTTCCATTCAAACATTATGTTGATTAGACTCTATAGGCCGATTCTCTACATTCTAACAAAAACATTTGCCCAGGCACAATTTTTTTTTTTTTTTTGAGACATCTCCTTTTGTGAATGGAACCAATTGGGTTGAAATTTTAAACAGTGTAATCTCCTATGCAATTTGAACTTCTAAAATTTGCTCTTAAAACCTCAAGAGTTCTGCATATATATATATATGAAAGCAGGCTCATTTTCAAAATTGCTCTAAATTCTGATGTTAGGTCCTATCATTTGACCAAGGAGGCAGTCCCCAAGATATGCTGATACTCTGTTACCTGTTAGGCCTGTTGCTTTAAATCAGTATCTCACAATTCTCAAATGCTGTTTCATTTTGTACTCTTAAGTAATTTTCTTAATTATCTTCACATGAGGAGAGAAACAGAGAAACTAATAAAGACCAATCATTCGATTAATGCTTCATGAAGAAGTCCTTCTGCCTTCACCTCTGCCACTGAGCCTCCAGCTCTTACCAGAGGGACAGTAACTTGCTGACACAACATCCCAAGAATAATCTCCATCGGGTTTATCACTTAGCTGTTGATTACTTAGTAATCCTCAAATAACTGGGACCCTACTAAGTTTATGAGACACAGAATTAAACACTATAAACAAGGTATTTCTCCTCACACTTTATCAATGTTCCACAGGGCATGTGCACCTGAGACTGCACCTCAAAAGACTTTTAATACAGGCAGAGCAGATGGAGCCACTTTGCTTCTCATCAGTTTCAAAGGGGGAGGAAAAATAAATAAATAAAAAGAAAACCGGGAAGAAAAAAATGCCTATGTTACATCAGCAACAGGTATGAACTTGATTTCTGGAACAAGAGAATCTCTCCTCTTTTTAAAGGTTGTGCAACAAGTTCTTTTGGACGGGGTGTTTCTCACTTTCAGGGCGGCTTTACTACCCACAGTCACGAAAGACTAACTCAGTCGCTTTAAGGCATGCACCAGCCCTTCTAAAAACTAATAATTCTCCCGCTTTTTCTTTAAAAAGAATGAAAGGGGGGAAAAAAAAATCAAACCACCCAAATCTGCATTTTTTTCCCTGGTTGGCAGATTTCCAAGATAAAGAGGACTGCTCTCCGGCTGGAACAGCAGCCGGGGCCTGCTCTCCGAACTCACAAAAGAGAACACCACACACGGAGAAAAAGCGACGGGTCTGACCGGCCAGAAACGTTTTCTCACCCTCTAAAGCAGTTCCTCAAACGAAAAAGGAAAACCCAACCACCAGCCCCACGCCCCTGGCCCCAGAGCCAGCCCGCGCCGTGCTGTTCCCACGCACCGCCGGACCGGGACGGGACGGCACGGCGGCTCCTTCGCTCCTCTTTTGGGTAACTGGGGAACCAGAACCCACATGAAGTTTCCCCTCTTTGCAGTCACCCCAGTCCTAGGTGTATATACTTTTTTTTTTTTTTTTTGCTGCTACTATTATTATTATTATTATCTTCTAACAGGACAAGCGGAGGAGTCCAGGTCAGAGCGACGGCGGGGTTACCGGAGCGGCGCTTCCTTGGGAATTACACGGCTTTTCCCCGCCGCCACGGTGCGGGGCTGAGCCGGGGAGCGATTGGGCAACGTGGGAAGGGGGGAGGAAGAAAAAAGGAACACCAAAAGGAAAGAAGCACAAACGATGAGATGTGCCAAGGCTTATTCCCATTTATTTCCTCCACCCCCACAAAAGAAAATAAGCCGGGAATCAGGAAGTCAGGGCTGCGTGATGGCTGTTACAGCTTTGGTTTGCTCCCCGTTTCTCCTCTGCCTTTTTGTATGGGTGGGTTTTTCGGTCTTTGAGGGTTTTTTTGGTTGTTGTTGGTTTGCGGTTTGTTTTCTTTTTTTTTTAAGGACAAAAAAAGTTAGTTGGACTTTCCCCTCTCCGCTCCCCACGTCAGTCTCTCGGGGCGCAGCCGGCAGAGCGGCAGCAGGACCCCCGCGCCCCGGCCCCCCGCGCCCTCCTTACCTTTCTTTCCCTCCACGGCGAGACAGAGAGCGAGGCGCCCCAGCAGCAGCACCAGGACAGCGGCCCCGCGGGGCCCGGCAGCGGCGAGGGGGCTGCGGCCGCCCATACTGCGGGACCGCCGCTCCCTCGGCGAAGTGGGTGGGTGGGGGGTCGGACGGGACGGACGCACGGAGGATTCCGCGGAGCCGCTCCTGCTCTGCTCCTCTCTCTTCTCCCGCGGCCGCGCTCAGCTCCTCTCCGGCGCTCTGCCCTGCGCGGCTCCGAGCAGCATGCTGGAGGGCGGCCGTCGAGGTCTGCGCGCACACGTGCGTGCCCCGGCTGCGGGCGGGCTGCTGCCTTCCTCCTCCTCCTCCCCCCCGCTCTGCTCCTCCTGCTGCAGGCGGCGGCGGGTGCTCAGGGGCTTGCGGAGCGGTCGGGGCCGGCTGTGGGACGGGGTGCGCCCGGCTGCGCTCTCCGCTCAGTCGCGGAGCACAGGGGCTCCCTCTGGGGACGCCGAGCAGGAGGAGGAGGAGGAGGATAGGGAGGGAGCAAGGAGAAGAGGGGTGGAGGAACTGGCGGCGCCTTCCCCGCCCAGGTGGAGAAGGGGCGGGCCCGCCACCTGTCCCGGAATACGGGATGAGAGGAGGTATGAGCGGGGTGGAGGTAGTTCAGTCGTTCGTCCTTGCTCGGAAGGGCGGGGGAGATTTTCTACTTCCCGGCATCTTCTGTCCGGCAGCTGCCAAAGGCATGAGCGTGCATTTGAGCCGCTGCTCGCAAAAAAGCGACGTGGCCCTGGCACTGCTTCTGTCTTCCCCCTCCCGGCAGCGTTGACGGGGGGGGGGGGGGAAAGAGGAGTGCGGGTGCCCTCGGGGGTTTTGAAGCAGAAACGCTGTCCTGCCCCGTCCCTTAGGGAGAATCGTCCCGTCCAGTGCGAGCGAGGAAGGACTGAGGCTTTTTACCGGGGAGCAGCAGTGGCGAAGCCGCTCCGGAGGCTCAGTCCGCTCCCCAGGGGGGCATCTCCTGAGTTCCAGTCTCGTTTCTTCTTCCCGAAATCAGCGGAGCCCGCTTGGCCTCTGCGAATACTCCTGCTCTCGTTCTGGGCATTTTACTCCCAATGCTTGCAAGGCCAAATGTGTGGGTGAAATAAAACGGTGCTGATTTAATGAGTTTTTAGCACACGGATAACAGGGGCCGTATCTGCCCGTACCATTTCTATTCCCCTGCCACCAACAGTGAGAAAGTGCTCGTTGTTCCACGTAGCAAATTACTTAATGAACACACAATCATACAAGTTTTTTTTGAGGTGCTCCAGGGACATCCACAGACATTAAACGAAAGAGGACGTGTACAGTGCTCCTTCTCCCCAACGTGTTTTCCTCCAAGAGGCAAAACCAAGCTATTCAGTGTTCATTAAAATATGCTAATGGTTACAAGCTCTTTTTCTAAGAGGCTGTTCCTCTGGAAAGTGGGAGGAAGCACTGTCTTGTCGCTCAGGTCCGTAAATAAGACGTAAAAGTGCCACTTGTCTGGATTGGGATTTCTTCGAATAAATCATGATTCAACGCTCGAACTTGTTAAATGCTGGTGGGTAATTTCTTCATAAAGTTCTCGAGAAGACCTGGGTCACACAGGCAATAGGATATGAAGTGTTAAGACTGTTACCATTAAGTGGGAACTCCAGAACTGAAGTCAGTAATGACATGAGGTTTGGGAAACTACGTGCCAAGTGCCTATGCCTATCACAGGGCATTGGAACACAGTAGATTGCAAAATAGCCACTGAGTCTACCTTGACTTTCTTCTGTTATGTGTGTTCCTCTAAGAGATACGTTACTCTTCTCCTACCAATCAACTTCCCCTGTAATTTTTTTTTCTGATAGTTTAATTAGTTACTGTCTTAACTAGGCGAAGAAAACTACCAGCCCATTTACTTATCCTAGCACCTGACCACATGCCTTTAACCAGACATCATCCCAACATAACTGTGATCGTTTATTAGGATGAATTGGGTTACAACTCAGCTTTTGAATGCTGTGGCTGACATTCTGGTTTGATTATATTTTGTAAATAATGCGAAAAACATACTTCGAAGTAAACTCAGACATTAATAGCATCCAAGGAACGGTACTCGTGATTGGTTTCATGGTTGTAATTGAGGGCAGAACCTGAGCTTACAGTACAATATTAATGCAATTTGCTTCAAAGATTTTCACACAGCGCAACTTTGTAAACACAAAGTGTGTGTGGTTTATTTTGATTTATTTTGACAAATAAGAGGATCTTTAAAAGTGAGAGACCCAGGGAAAAGAGATCAACTTCTAGGGAGGGAAGATTTGCAAAGCACCCTCAGCACACACTGATGATTACAGCTTGCATTATGAGAAAGGAAGTGCAATTAAGATAACCAAGAAATGAACTTCAAATCAGTTCTGTACTAAATAAAAATGTGCCCCTAGATGTGCACATTGAGCATCAAGCTACCACTGTGGGAGGCAATAGAGTTTTCAAAATCTAGAAAAAGAATGGATTCAAAGTGACAAATGAAAAACAAACTAAACATAGGAAAAAAAAAGAAAACATCTTTTGCATATGAACTCAGTGGAGAAACTTGTCCAAGTCCTGTCCTAACATGCTGAAGAACATATACTTACTTTGCAGAATTTTTTTTTTGTGCAATTGCGATTCTACCTGCTGTACTGAGCGGGAACACTTCATACTTGCCTCCCATCACGTACTGCCCTTACATAAATGCACATAAACTCAAGTATTTGATCCAAACTAAGCTCCTCCTTCATTGCCACCATGGTGAGCAAGGAGAGACTAGGCAAATCCCCCTGAAATTTGTTTCCCACGCTGCAGATATCCACTACAGGATACTCTCATCTGCTGCTGGCAGTGCGGTACTGCTGAAGGGGCTGCACAGCAAGCTGCTGCATTCTGTCCTCCCACCTTTGGGAGCACAAATGTGTTATTTTCGTGGCATTGTGCTCTGCTTGTCAAGGTCATGAGATACACAGAGAGACTCTAAGACCATGGTTTGAGAAGCTTATCACAGGCAGGAATTTCAGGCCTTGAATGGTTTCTGAAATGGTTCGAATTCAAACATGGCATTTTCCCTAAACAGCTGGTCACATACCCGGTTTCGTAGATCTCCTTTAAATCTAATGTAATTACATGAATTTTGCCAAGGGCATACAGTATTCAGGTTGCAAAACTTTTATTACCAGCTGCCTGTGTGCATGCATTAAAGGTCAAGGGACAAAGGCCAGTCTTTTGACCACCAATTTTTAAATTGATAGTTCATCGTGAGAATACTAAATACAACATCTTTTTTTTTTTTTTCAGATTTCTTTTTACTTGCTTGCCTTACAGTATGTATATATCTCCTGTCTTCTATATATTAAGCATAAACATGCTGACCTATGAAGTGAAGTCCATGTAAGCTGGTAGTTCTTTCACATGAAGATACTTCTGCATTGCAGAATTTGGCTGCAATTGCTCACCACCACTTTCCTGCACCACTGAGCTGATTACTTTGCCACATGTGGAGAGAAGCTGTTAAGAGGATGAATAGCTGATTTTTCTATCAGTGAAAAAAGCAGGATTAATTCTCCTATCTCTTCTACATTCCCTCAAAAAAGAATAGAGTCTCACAATCCTCTCAAGAGTCAAGAAATCCCTGCTACTGGGTCCTTTCCTTAAATGAAACAAAAATGTGTTGTTTTTCATTATCCACTGAGAGCGGGTCAGCATTTTCCCCTCCAAAAAAATTCAACCATTCCTGGATGGCAACGCAGTTCTTCTCTTTGTGTTGCAAAAGTGATTCTAAAGGGCAGGCCTTTTACTGGAAGAGGAGAAATGAAGTAGAGCTGAATTAGCAGGGGTTTAGAATCAATTTGCTAAGATTTTGCATGGTTTTTGATATAGTTGGCGTTGTATTTTGCATTGTGGTTCGTATTCTACTGAGGTTTTAAAGCAAGTGCTGAGGTAATAATTCATGGAGCTTTATGGCATTTTTCATGTTGAAAACATAGTACAAACATTAACTCATTTATCTCTGCAAATCTCCTGTAAAGCAGGTTAGTAGCTATCATTTCCATTTTATAGATGTAAAATAATTTGCCTTGGGCAGAGCGTTAGTGGCAGAGCTAGGGTTATCACTCAAGAGCTATTAATTCTAAACGTTCTACTTAAACCTTCTTGGATCATGCTGCTTCTAGAGACTGTCCCTGATGAAAAGGGATGCATTTTTAAGCACTCAGATTCTCTCTCTCTCACTCTTCTCTTAACACTGTTTGTTGGCTTGTATAACATCACTTAGAAAGGATAACAGCAACAAACACATGGGTATTGAGATCACACATGGATATTGAAATCAAATCTTAGTTATAGTAAATTGCACAGTCGGTATTTCAACATGTGATCATAGTATTATGTCAGAAGGGTTCCTACATGTTCTTTATTTTTTTTTGTGTGTGTCTAGGTTTTACCTGTCATCTCAGTCATCAAGTTCAGTGTTGCATTTTTCAGGGAAAATTTACTTAAATCAGGAATAGACTTTTAATATTATTTAAACTCTGTTGGGGATTTGCAGCATCAGCCCATATGCTAATGAAAGTAGGCAACAAAACAGGAAGAATAAAAATAAAACCTGTGTGGTTGTTGCATGGGAAAAAGTGTGAGCTATCTATTTTCTGAATTCTGCCTTCTCCTTGAAAAGACTCCCAAATTTTGTCCAGTATAAAACAGGAAAAAAAAAATTGTTTTGTGCATTTTGATTAACATCTAAAGTAATAATAAGAGAAAAAAAGGTTATACCAAATTCTTTCAGTGTTGAAGATAAACATTATGGTAACATAAACTGAACAATGTTATCAGGGTATCAAAATAATAACTATACCATGTTGATAAAAATATGCAGATTTACTTGTGGTCCCCTCTTGCAAAATCTCAGTTGAACTCCTGGGCAATATGGTGTCTCCTTTGCCATCTAGTAGATATTTTCAAAGGGTACAATACATTCTCTGCTTAAAAGCATCCATCCCTTTGGTGTTTGTAACTTCTTATAGTGACTGATGCGTTTTTTCACAACTTTAACAAGTCCTGAAACTAGGCATTTCTTGCTGTGTTCTTACCTCACTGAATTTTATAGTTTGTATGGGTAAGGGCATAAGGACTGATACTGTCACGGAATAAGGTATGTTGTATACAAAATATTTGTTACTAAACAGTACAACAACTTCCTACATAAAAACAAGCTTCTGCCTTATTTCTGTACTTTGTTAAGGTGACTTACGCTGATATTACTATGCTGCACATAGCTCTTCCCTCGAGCAGAAATCATACAGCTGTGTATGATTGCAGCACAGTTGAACATGCTGTCAATAAATCGGATGTCAGTAGAAGCAGGGCTAACACAGAATCACAGAATGGGTAAGGTTGGAAGGGACCATAGTCAGTCAGACAGCTCAGTATCTCCAGTGAGGGAGACTCCACAACCTCTCTGTGCAACCCGTTCCAGTGCCCGGTCACCTGAACAGTAAAGAAGTTGTTCCTCATACTCAGAGGGAACTTCCTGTGCATCAGTTTCTACCCGTTGCCTCTTGTGCTGTAGCTTGGCACCACCAAGAAGAGCTTGGCTCCATCCTTGATATCCTCCCTTCAGCTGCATATATACATTCATGTGGTCCCCTCTCATGAACACGTGTTTGTCCACTGGGACTGCTTTCCAGCAGGTCAGCTCCCAACTTGTACTGGTGCACAGGAACATTACCAGATCACACTGTATAATTATTCAAGATGGGTGACTAGTAACAGCAGATTATGAACACTAATACTGCTAATTTCATTACTGTCACTGTGTTCTGCACAATCAAAAAATGAGCTTTATAGCCTTGCTCAACTATTTCCTGACCCGCTGCATAGCCTGTCAAAGCCCATGTATGTCCACAATGACAAAGAGATGGGGACAACAAAACACAAGCCCATGCCATGAACTTTGACTTAGGAAAAGTGTCATGAAGCCAAGCTCAAGTCTGATGATTGGCTGGCACTGGTTGTATTTACCCTGCCCCTTCCAAGTCCTTTGTCTGACCCCTTCCCAGCTCCCATAGGAAGTTCAGTGCCACGTTCAATACCATTTGCTCCAAATATTATCTCCTTGGGTGTTTGTAGAGCTGAGAAATCTATAGCCATGAGAGAGTGAGGAAAGCTGGTAACCCTGAGTAAATGCACAAAGAATGTGAGTTGCATCAAGGGCGTGGCTAATGGGGGTTTCTTCAGATTCAGCCATCGCTCGCTGCTTGCATCCAAAGCAGACACAGATAAGAATGATAAGAGATTGCAACACTGTGATTCTGCTAAACTACTACAGCTGCTAATGTTTATTTAGGCTAGTAAATATAAAGTAAGTTAGCCTTCCCTTATATCCACTCCTTATTTTTCACTATGGAGGTGTCTCTACCTTGACTCATTTTCCCAGCCCTGTTAGACAGTAAGTACCCTAATGTTTGCAGACACTTCCTTGCTTCTTGCTTCTCTGTGAGTCCAGAGATATGCCACTGAAATCATTACCTTGCATTTTTCCACAGGAAAACTAAGCCCAATAGCAAAGCCGTCACTGAAGAGAATGGGAAAAGCACTTTTCTGTCGTATGCTTTGAGGTTTTGTCCCCAAAGCATTTTAACCACAGAGTAGATGGTAATTCTTATTTAAAACAAAATAAGTCATTGTGCTTTAGAAAAAATTCTATCACATTTTATTCAGCACTGCATAGCTAAGTAATAAAGACATATGTGGCAAAGGCTGGTCAATTCAATATAATTAATCCAACCTAAATCCTGGAGATACTACAACTGCACTGAGAGAAATCCCATAGAACACAGCCAGGCAACCAGTTGCCTATTTTCATTTATCATACCTCTGACTTCCAAAATCTTTCTCAGGTAAATGTTTTCTGCAGCATGTTGGAGACCATCAGCAAATATGACTGAGCAGAAGAGCAGGTTCTGGAAATCAGAGAGGTCACAAAGTGCCTGACTTCCCACCATCTGGGCATCTTTATTTTCAAATGAGGAGGATGCAATGTAAATGCAAACCTAGCAATGTGCAATACTGAAAACTGAGATTTGGGTAACGTGGTGTTGGGGGATTGGATTTGTAAAGCAAAACAGCTGCAACACAGGCCCTGACATCCTCACTGCATGTGTTTCTGAGCATTTTAGTTCAGGCTGCCTCTTGTGATCCTATGGACTAAGTGTCCATTACTTGTCAGGGTCTGCTATGTACGCCCCCGGAGCACATCTTTCAGCTTAACTCCATTTGGAAGAAATGCAGGTTACTCACCCCAAGGCCATGGCAGGAAGAGGATCACTCTCAGAAGCACGCTCCTAACCCATACCAGAATGCTTTTACAAATTTCTTGGGTTACCCTCTTCATTATTTTCCTTTCTCTTTGCCAACATCCTTGCCCGCAATCTGCTATTTCTAGAAAAAAAAAAAAAAAAGAAAACAACAATGAAATATTTGAGTTTCTACCAAAGTTTTAATCTATAGAAAGCAAGACAGGACCTGGATCCCAACTTCAGTTTTTGAGGTTTCCAAGCTGGGCTGACCCCAAACCCAGAACGTAAACAAACCCAGTCTATTACAGGTTACCTAGAAAACCACTTGATATGAAAATGGCAATGGGATGAGAATGCCAAGCGCTTCCCTTTACCCAGCAATACTGAGAGATAAACTAGGTGAAGTAAACCCGTGGATAACACAAAACACGTACAAGACCGCTAATGAAAAGAGTAGGCTGAAAGCAGCCAGGCAGCTGTTCAGGGAGTTGTTCCAGTGGCACACACCAGTGAACAGGCAGGGTGGGAGCCAGAGCTCACCACTGCATCTTACAGGAATCAGGTGCTGCTGCTGCTGCTGAATCAGGGCAAAGTTAGTTAGTCCACAAACCAGATAATCAAGATCTGCCATCACATTTTAGATGCTGTCAAAACATAGCTACAAAAAGGGGTTGAGAGGGTTCACCTGAATGCTCCTGAGCCTTTTTTTCCTTCCTATTTATAACATGGTCCCCAATACACCTCAGGATATGTGTTTGATCTCAACTCTCTGGTATTTACCTCTTGAATTCTTAACAGCTTTTCTGTTCAGACAGATGAGCAATTCTCCGAGCATTTCAGTAAACTTTCCAGAGGTAATTAGGATATAGCTGTCTCTGCAGCTTCCTCTTCTCCAAACTCGGATTCAGCCCTTAAAATCCTCACATGACACGACAGCAAGAGGATGTGAACCTCTAATCCATTCCGTGTGCACACTCCCACCTCCATCAGACCCTCAGCTACTAGTGTGTGATATCCTGCACCACCAGTAAGAATGCAATATCCTGGTGTAATAGAAAGCATACCATGAAACAGCCTGGGGATACAGGAGGATAAAGAGACCTGTCTCCTGCCAATTTTTTTTTTTTTCTGAAATGGGTCAGATTGAATAGGTTACTTCACATTCTCCATCATCCCGTCTTCATAAGGAGCTCCCCAAACTACAAGCTCCTCATCACTTGATTTCATGCATTACTTCCTTTCCCAGCCACTTCTGCAGAACTAGAGACCCAATTCATTTAAAAAATGAAACCCAGCACAAGAGCATTAACTTTTCCAGACTTGCTTCCTTCCTGACTTCACTGCTTATTTGACTGTAAAACAACTGATGATGCAGTTTTCAAAGAGGCAAGGGAGGACCACAATTTCTATTCCCAGTCTGTGGGAGTGGGAAAGCAACTTTGGCATAAATACATGAAATTTGAGACGCTAAATATGTTTTAAACCAGCTCCTTTTCCTTTAAACTTGTTTCCTCTGAAGACAGAAATTTATCACCAATGACTCAAGTTTCCTCAAAGTTTTATCAATTTAAGCTTCAATAATGTTCTCTCTTTGTGTGTTCATGCTACATTGCCTAGCCCTCACTTACCCAGCCAGTGCTTACTCATGCAAACCAATAATTTGGCTTTTCTGGTTTATTTGGGTGAGTGCTTTTTCATTATGTCCCTTGCCCAATCTATTAATTTGAGATGAGGGTCTTGTGGGAATTAATTATAAGTCTGGACAGGGATGAGCGGTTTAAGATTTTGCCTGTTTTCTATAAGGTTGCAGCATATAGAAACACTCCTTCTGTATGGAGAAAGCAACAAATGCCTGGGCCTCTCAGCAGTGGAACTACTGGAGACTGGTTTTCTGCAAGTGATTTTGCTTTCTCCCCTTGTTGCCTGCCATCTGCACTACCCTCCTGTGCCCTCCACACTGGATATGAGACAGCCAGTATGGAGATGGATGCATGGTAACTGGACACGTGGGCAGACAGGGACACAGCAGATAGCTACTGAAGCTGCAGTATCTCCTCTTTCCATACCACCAGGTTTCACAAGGCTCATGAGACCCTCACTCCTCCGTGGAATTTGGTTAAAATTAGTTAACAGGGCTGGGGCCCAATAGATGTAATGACTGCATGCATCTTGCTTCCAGACTAAAAAAATCAAAAGCTGGCAAGAAACTGCGATTGTCTGACTTGAAACAGCTGAAATGTGTCCTTGATGTCCTTTGTAGTGCCTCAGGAATAATGGCAGGTTTAAAAAGTGCAACTCTGTGACCTTGGAGCATACTGCAGTGTGTCTAAATGCTCTCTCCAGGCTTGTTTTTTAAGTTTAAAGAGACTATATCAGGACATCGGTACAGTCCAAGGTTTCCAGAGCTGTTACAGCTAATGAGAGAGGCATATGTGCTCCATGATTCTGATGTTTGCCATTCACAGATCTGCTCCTGACCTTTGTTTTTATCTCTGCATCTCACCCCTGAAGCTAACATGAAGTGCAACAGAAGCCAGATCTACTTGAACAAGCCCACACAGAAGTCAGAAGGCTTCCCTGCAGAGCTGACCACGGGCTCACGCAGACTTCCCTCAGGAAAGGAAACCAAGGAGGTCGCCTTTCATTTACAGTTTCTCAAGAACCAGAAGATCGACCGTAAATGAACACCAGACAAAGAAGGAGGCAAGGGAAAATAAGAACGACAATGAAAAAGTTTCAATGACACAAGTCAGAGCCCATCACTGCTTCTCTGGGAGACCTGCACAGCTTACTAGTGCAAAAAGGTAAAAAGTCTGTCCCAAAGCTGGTAAATTGCTATGTGTGGCCTAAAAAAAATTAGGTGCTGAAGTAGGAGCCAGAGTTTCAAAAGCTGGAAATCTGTGTGAGCCTAACCCTCCCCATGTAAAATGGGGATAACAAGTAGCACAAACACATAAACAATTTTTAAGAAAAACAACTTAATAACTACATGGTGCTTTACAGACAGGAAAGGCTTTAGGAATGCTAAGTATTCTTAAAATCTTGAGCTTTCACCATGATTTTGGTTTGCTATCTCTGATATGGGGTTTTCTGTTTGAGGGAACCCCTTCACTCTCACTTCTTAAGTGAAGCTTCTTCCCTGAAATAGAAGGAGGGCAAAAGTTGATGAGATACAGCATTGGTATTTCTGCTCTGATCACTCCTAATTACTGCTGTGGTGACAAGAGCAGTATAAATCAAGCCAGTTCAGCCAAGAGTTCTTAGCACAAGCTGGTTAACCACTACATTAGTAGGAACATCTGACACTTCATTTTCTAGGAGGGATTAAAACAAGGGTAAAAGCTTGGAGGAGGCCATTCGTTTGTATGTGTGGGGAAGGGTGGGGAGAACAGAGGCCACGAGCAGCAAACTCCATGGTTTCAACTGGTATAGATGCTTCAACACTCCCTTTTGCCCTTGATAGGGAGCCCACTCAGACTTACTCAGAGCCAAATGTGTAAAAGGGCAATGAACTCGAGTGGGATTTGCTACATAATGGTCGTGTATGTGCCCATAGGCCAGTCCGAAGCACACAAATAATTCACTGCCATTGGCAATCAGAGTGGAATGATATATTTGCTTTCTTTGCATTTTAAAACAAAAATACAGCCTTAGCATTTTAAATAGCAGCATTTCTCTAGGAAAGGCATTTGTTTACTTTAGTGCCAGTAAAATTCCTCAGAAGGACAGCCTGGGAAGTAGAAAGCCTTGTCTTATTCACAGAACAAGTATAACAAGTCCTGCAAGCTCTCTTCCAATGTTTCACCAATATGCCTCTACTCAAGGTCGGAGGATTAGACTTCACATTCAAAACAGCACAGATGTTTTCCTTAAGAATTAAATACCACAGTGCCTTTATAAATTTAGGTCTAACACAGAGAACTACCTCTAACACAGATAACTACCACACAAATAGCAATGGCATTGCTAATCAGCGCCAGTTTTGCTGGGGACAGGCCAGGACATTGGGAAACTTGTGCTGCCGACACCTGCCCAAGAAGAGCAGAGGTCACTGGCCACCTCCTGCAGCCCCCATAGCCCACACTCCACAAGAACCTTATTTTACCAAAGGTTTCTCCCCTTGGTGCCCAGGGGAGCTTCTCCCCTTGGTGCTGTGAAGCTCCTTGCCATAGGATGTTGTGATACATATGAGCAATGCATAAAACAATTCAAGTTCCTTGAGGGCTGTTAAAAACAGGGACAGAAGCACAATCATTTTCTCAGGAAAGGTACAACACCACAGCAGCCATTGGGATGGTTTGGGATGGGGAAGGAGAGGTGTCAGGGAAACACCAATTTAAATTCGACACAGTACATCTGCTCTTCTCTTGCACTGAATTAACACTGGCAAGCAAAAGTGGAAGGCCTTAGGCACTGTTCCCCAGCTTTTAAGGCATTTACATACACAGAACACCTCTTCTTCCTCTGGGGAGTGAATGGTCTTCATCCACTACCACCGAAGCTAGTTTTAAACAGCAGAGAAGGCTTGTCCCTTGTGTCAACTCAGGAGCTGCTCCCTCCCAGAACTCACGGAGTAGGACACACATTCTGTCCAGCCACGAAAAATACCTGTGGAATATTGGATGTATAGGGACTGCCAGATCCTTGAGATATCCATAAAGGTGGGGGATAATTTGGGTTCAGTTCCACTGATTTGTCTCCAATACCAGGCTGCTGCATACGTGTTTCTGGCTGTTGGCTTCATTCCCACATGACACTAACCTACCCAGGATCTTTATCTGTGGGATCAGATTGACCCAGAAGTGCAGGAGACAATATTTGCCCCTAATTTTACAGGGAAAGGCTCTAAAGCTTACTATGTGTTAAGTAACACTTCATTTCACCAGGAGCTTCCCTAATGTCAAAGGCATTACTCATGGAGGAGGGACCTACTCACCATGAGTAAAGGCTTTGGAATCTGGCCTTTGGTGTGGAGCTTTATGATTGCAGTACTGAATATGTAAATCTCTGTTTTGTACAATATGTGCACGACATTAGGAAAACACTGCATAACAAAAAGCAAAATAAGGAAAGCATGTCCAGCACCTCAGTCTACATTCAAACTTGCCCTGCTGATTTACAGGGCCGTGGGGCAAGCTCTTGATCTTAGGTTCCAAAAAATTGCAGGAACAGGTTGCTGCCAAGTTAATTTAAGGCATGTGGTCCTCTAAGAACTTATCAAACCTGTCCATAGGTCCATCCATGTGCAAGGACGTTGGAATTTTGAACAGTGCTAAGAAAAGAGACCAAACTCCTCTGGGCACAAATGGCTTCCACAGATCCTAGCAGAGCCTCACGAAAGATGAGGATACTCAGGAGCGTGAACACTTGTGGCTTGACCTTCCTTTATCTCAAGCACCAGATTCCTCAGAATACCTTACAGTGACAGAGAAGGAAAGGCGACAGCATCTGACCTTTGAAGACTTCTGGACGCAGATTGATTTGCTGTGGAAAAGCAGCACGCACGAAACAGAAAGCACTTTTTCTGCTCTGCTTGCTGGGTATGCCCAGTGATTTAACCTGTCTGCTAGTACCACCATGAAAGAAGAGATCAAATTCATCAAATTATAGCCTCAGGATTTATGTTTTCAACTGATTTTTGCAGGGGAGGCAGAAAGGGAAGGAAAAGGAATGGAGTTTGTTTCAAGCTTGTCCGTCCTCTTCGTATGAAAAAAAAAAAAAAAGTAGGAGAAAGACTCTTTTAATTATTTTTCCTGTAACAGAATGGGGTTCAATGGCTACACAGCAACTACACAGGTAAGTGTTGAAATTATGTTACGTATCACAAAAATACATATAGGTTCCTTGACTCCTTTAGTTCCATATGTGGGTTGTAGTTCACAATCTACAATGTGATGTGAGAATGTGGTTAAGGGCTGAGAAATGAATAAAAAAAACCCCAGCATGTTATTCTAATGAGTAAATTCTTCACTCTACGCTATATTATCTCACTAACTCTACTTGAAATTAAACAACATCAAGTCTGAATATCTGCTCAGTTCCTGCCCTACGCGGAGGTGTCAACAAGAGGACACAAGCTGATTTTTATGGTGTGAATCAAGTTTGGTGGAAACTATTACTTCTTAAGTTTCAGCAGTGGGTTGTTCCAATGGATGGCATAAAATAAAGACTATCCCTGCCCTAGGGGGGTGCAGTCTAAAAAAAGACCAGAGGAAAGTGTTTGTCTCTTGTAAAGTGATTTATTTCGTTGGTTCTCTGAGTTTATAGTCTACTTTGAAGGCGGGCACTTTATCATGTAAATTTTAGTTTCTGTGAGAAGCACAGAATAGGCCATACTGATAATGTATACTGTTTCTAGAAACTGTGTTTGGTGAAAAAAAATTCAAAATATTGTTTCCTGTCTGTTCAGACTTTTGAAGTTAAAATTATTTAAATTATTTGTTTAAGAATGAATCTTATTTCTAGACTTCTTTGAATAATGTTGCTAAAGAAAACATCTTATGAATAAAACGTGTCACTCCCAGAAGTGATTCCCTCTACATTTTTGTTTTACTGAAAAATTCTGGGGAAAAAACTATTCTAAAAAAAAAAAAAAAAATATCCAGACCTGAAAGCTGCCAAACAGCCTGCTGTTCCGTAAACTCTTCCATAATAACCCAAACTAATAATTTCAAAAAAGAGTGATCATTATAAACAAACCTGCAGCAGAGCAGAGGGCTGGACTAATTGTTGGATCAGGTAATATGCAGAACTCTGATTTAGCATTCAAAGTCATAATTGGGTCCATAATTGACCACCTGCTTTGGTCACTGGAAATGAATGCAGCTGGACTTGGCTGGTCATTGTATCAAACATTTGCTAGAGGATGCACACGAGCTTGTTAGCAGTTAGTTGTTGCTCAAGCTCAGTTTATGTAAATTGTTGCTGAGCTTAAGTCTTACTGTCAATAACAGCAGAAGAGGTAAAGGAAAGAAATAGCATTTCCTCTCTCCATTGCCACAGGGCTTTCTGAAGCACAACAGCATAAGTGCATGATAGATAATCTACAATTCAAAGTGCTTCCTACACAGGGGAGGCAAAAAAAGTAACATGGCTTAGTGGAGACTGAAGGCTTTGTGTGTCAGAAACCTGGTGTACCAGTGCACGTCTCTGCCAAACGCTCGCTCTGTATCCTTCAGCAAAGGGCATAGCCTCTGATCCTGCACTTCACTTTCCCTTAGATAATGATATCTACCCTCTTTCTAAAAAATATTTTAAAATATGCATGTAAGATAGGTTGGATCATTACAGAGCAAGCACACAAACAAATACATACACACCCAGACAAGCCAGAGCGATACATAAAATGCAGACACTCCCGTGCACAGAAATGTACTGATGACCTTAGGCTAATGACTGGAGCCTGGGTGGTACTGCTGGTATTCACAGAGCACACACTCACATAGCTGTGCAGGTCTGTGCAGGCAGGCAACCAGCCCCTTTTCATGGGGCTGGCCAGCGCTGATGTTACCGGGCACGCTGAGCCATTTGGGGTAGCTGGCAGCTGCTGGGCAGGCAACTCTGCTAGCTCTTCTCTAGCCTCAGAGGGGAGAGCTTATAGTCATAAGGAAGGAAAAGGGAAAATAGTTCCCACTTTCCAGAGAGCTGGGACTTTTATTTGCTTACTTATCATAGCTGCTATTTAATTTAAAGACCTTATGTAGGCAGCAGGAGCCTCACTAAAGTAAATGTGGCACAGCTGGTAGACAGGTTCCAGAAGTGTATCTTGTTCAGCACTTTCCACAGGAGCAAATGGCCTGGCCTCTTCCACGTGGTTTAAAATTGATGTGTTTGGAAATGTGGAAGTGAAAAGCCTTGGGAGACGAAAGGAAAGAGAGGGAAAATTGGTTGTGGAGAATACCTATTTCCCCAATTTTAAGGGCAATTTTAGAAGCAATCTAAAACAGTTCATTCCAGATGGGCCCACGCTTTGTAATTTTTGCACTTCCAGAGTCCTCCCACAGGATATCAGGTTATTAATACTATTTTATCAGAAACAAATCTCACAAGTATATCATATTCTCAGTACACAGCACTGCAACTCACTCTGCTGTGAGGTTTAGCCAAGCAACAGCCCCTTCACTGTCTGACAGCCTCAAGTCTTACAGCAGCTCATGTGTGGTTCACAGCTTAGTCTTGTTTCATGTATTTTTTGCTAAATCATCTGTGAACTTGTAAACTATTGTTCTTTAACAGAAAAAGCTCTAGTAATAGTCTTGCTCTCTGCGAATGGAGCCCTTCCTCCAAGCTTCATGCAGGGTTCCTGTCCAATCTGGTGCAAGGTGCTTTGAACTGTCATTAGCACAGACTGAACAGCACAGGTCAAATAGCTGCATCCATAGTGTTCTGGTTAGAGGCTGAAAGTTACTCCATCCCAAAAGGAAAAGGCTTACCATACATTTCCTCCCGTAGTCTACCTAAGATTTTGCCCAGATACAAGTTCAGTCACATGTGAACAGCAATGTTTGTGAACTGAAATAGTATGTCAAACTTTGGACCTGTCCTACCTCATAAATAGGGCTCAAGTTCAGAAGTTACTCAGAAACTGTTTATAGCCCTTCTGTACAATCAAACCAAAACTGAAAGCACCCAAACAACGATCAATGCCTGAACTCAAGCACCTCAGCATGCTTTTGGCTATTCCATAACCATGCAAATCAGTCTAATTTCTCATTGTGTAGATTCAAACTGGAAGCTACTCTGCAAGCTACTAGGTTGCATTTGACCCTGACTAAAACTGCTGCTTTATTGGGCAATGCAATCCTAGGTGTACTCATAGGAGACTTAAAGTTTATTTCATATGCAGGCAAATAACTTTATCACCCTTTGACTTGCTTTACTGCTTTGTCTTTCAACACCTTAGATATTATGGGATCTTTCTAAGTTTCTCCTCCAGCAGCACCTCCCTTCCTGCTGCTACTAACCCTTCAGGCACTGCTTCTAGTTTGGTGACTCCTTATTACCAAAAATAAAAGATACTTTAAAACTGCTTTCTGAGATGAAACAGTCTTGTTAGATATGAGAAAGTACCCTCAGAGAGAGATAAAAGTTCTGTAATGAAAGAGATTTCCACTGAACTTCTCATCCTTTTCGAAGCAAAGACAAGAATAAGAAATAGATTTAAGAACAATAAATAGATTTAAATAATTTAATAGATTAATAAAGAATTTATACATATTTTCTTAATGAAATAGATTTATAGGAAATTAGTTTTCTATCGGTCTGTTCCTGGAACCACTCCTTTTCCTAATCCCAAAATAGTAATAATGATTGTTATATATTTGTCAGAATTGCTCAACAAATGTTTGTAATAGTTAAGACACATTCCATTTCCATTTGCCTCTTTGAGGCAAAGTATCTTCTCAGTTTTTTGATGCTTGACACTGTATTTGGCCAGCGTGACTCAGCATGGGAATATGATTTCTATGCCCTGAATGGATGACTCATTCTGTGCATACGAGAACAGTGCCTGAAGAGCATGTAGAAAAAGTTAAGGAAAAAAGAATCCTTTAAGAGTCTGCCTCAGGAGTGTTAAACATGCTCTGTAAGTATTATTGCTTTTTCTATATAGGAATATAAATAGTCTGTGATTTTAAGATTAAAAAAAGTAATCAAATTTACCAACAGTTCCTATACTCACACCTTCTTGGCACAAAATAGTTTCCTGTAGGTTTTGGCAGGTTTTTTTTGGTAAATGCATTTAATATATGGATTAGCATTTGTGTCTGGAGAAATAAAGTGCCTCTCAAATATTCCTGAGCACAAATTTGATAAATAGTTGAGTTGCTTAATGCACTATTAAAAGAAATCAGATGGTGAACAGAGTACAGAGACCATAAGCAGACAATCCACATGCGCTGACTTACAAGAAGTCAAGTGAAATGGACTTAGTAAACATGCTTGCCAAAAACAAACCAAACGTTCCCAAATAACGTCACGTCCAATACTACGACCACAGAACACCAAGAGATGGGATGACTACAGTGACCCTCTGTATGCAGAGGCTTTCCCTGCTAAACATCTTGACAGAGTACTCAGCTCACTCTTGAAACAGCTCACACAAGGGTTACTGCCTTTTATGAAACACCCAAGAAAGCTTAACCATTCCCCAGTCTCTCGCTCCAGGAGCAGTAGATTGTTATGGAAGCCTAGCTTTAAGTCTGTGGAAATGCTTGACCAACATCTGCTGTATTTTAATATATAGGTAATAATATTTTATAGATGCTGGAAAATGCAGAGACACAGACAAAAAGGATTAAAGCTAGTATTTTTTTCGGTTCAATGTGACTGTTATTAGGAGTTCTGCATTTTACTCCGTTCACTGCCTAGGTATAGCTAGAGACCACGGAAAAAATGATCTGAGGAAGAAAAAAAAAAAATCCCACTGCCTTGAGTCAGAGCCCATCTCATGCAAACATGCAGTAGCCTTCAGTACACCTTGGCCACAGCGCTCAGGCACTCCAGGCAGAAGAGCCCAATGGCTAAAGAATATGACTAGCAGGCAAAACTCTTGGGGAACTGAACACCAGTCACCTCGCATTCCCACTGTGGACAAAACATCCTGGCTTGTGTCTGCCAAAGTTTATGAGTGCCATGAGGTTCTAGCTGCCTATATGAAAACGGCCTCCTGCCTTCCCAGAGCAAAATGTACCCATCTGTAGAGACAGGCATTAATTCTTACCCACAAGCATTTGGTAACATTTGAAGGATGCTACTCAAGACCTTTACCTGTAAAGTGCTCCCAGTGAATCATTATAGATTGTTACCAGGTCTGTATTTTTAAATAACAAAAAAGAAGCCTCAGTCACTTGATTAAAAGGCTATTGCATACCAGCACAGACCAATAATTTTCTTCCCAGAAGCCAAGCCATATGATTTAGGAATGAAGAATGCTTATGGCTCTTGCACAGGACTTGCTGATAGCCCTGCTCACCTCAACAAGGAAATCTAGCCCGTACCTGACTCCTTGCTGAAAAGATTGCAGTGAGGTAGACACATCTGTTGAGTGTTGGTGGTCTTGTTTTGAACTGTACAGAATGGGACAATAGCGATAGCTGCCTCTCATGGCTTTTCCCAGGTTGAGAAAGGACAACAGCCAAATGAGGTGCCCAGGTGCTCAGGGAAGGGCTGAACCAGAACCTGTGAGACCCACAAGAGAATTTCTTCTCCATGGCAGGAGCTGAGCCCTGCAGAAGCATGGCTATTGCAGTTGCATGGCTATTTATTAATTAAAACATTTATTCAAATGCTACAAACCACTAAACTTACAAAACTATAGTTCAACTGAGATAAGTGAGTCTCAGAGGTTGTGGACTTAAGAGAGTATGTAGCATATGAAGTCAGAAACAAGCTCTTAATCAAGCTTTTTCAGGTTGGCTATGCCAAGTTTCCTTTAAGGAGTTTTGACCTCTAGAGCATAATTTCCTTACATTTCTTGCAACCTCAAAGTTTTTCAGGGGTGTTCAGCACTCCAGGGTCATGAAGCTCTTCTCTGAGGGCATCACCTGATAAAGAAATTGTTTTCTATCTTGCTGTCTGGTATTGTTTTGTGAAGCCTGTCTGATTCTCTTACATGTTTGTGTTTTTGCTAATCGTTGGACTTGTTATATTTTACTTTATCCAGGTTTATAAATAATGGTTTGAACATCATTTTAGTGTTAAATGTGATATTTGGTACCTTTCTTAAACCCTCTGCCTTGGTTTAACAGAGAATTCCAATCTGCATGTTTTAAAGAAAATGTCATGTTCATTGGTGCTGCTTGAAAACTTTAAAAATTGCTATTGAAAAAAACCCTTGGCAAATAAATAAATAAATGAGAAATAAATCCCTTTTTCGTCAATATTAAGAAAACCTAAAAATCCTGAAAAGGTGATCTGTAGATGCACCACCAAAAGATAAAGAAGCAACGATCATATTTATTAATATGATCTGATTACTAAAAGCAATCACTCTGTTTCTGGGTGACAGAGTTTTGAATGTCTGTGGCTTATAATATCAGATAGAGAAGTATCTGTTCAGGTACCAGGAGAAGGAGGGAAAGGGCCTACGGTGCCTCATCCCTGGGACCTGGCAATGCTCCCCCATCCACACAAATGTTTTTTTCACCTCCTGCACTGAGTTCAGTTAAATTGTAGGGCAACTACAAGGAACATTTTGTAGATACCTCTATGCTATTTCTTTCTCTACCCTGTGAATATCAGGTTTGGAGGGGACTGAGCACAGGCCGTGCCAAGAAAACTTCCTTGGGGAATGTCACTGGATCGTTGCTCAGTTCCAGCAGTCCCAAGCAGGGAGTCAGATTGCCATGCAGAGTTCAAAGCAGCTTTTCTACAAGAACAATTGTGATCTGTGGCCAAGTTAACCCTTGAAAATTTTCTTCCACAGTACAGTAAAATTTTTACTACTAGTAGTTATTTGTACCCAAATCATCTCTTTTCCCTGCTAGGCACCTTTATACTTGCTGCATTAGGGAATGCCACCAGAATAAACACTGCTTTATAAGCCTGTAGAGTTTATGATATGGTTGGGAGCTGGGAAAAAATGCTTTGTCTGTGCCTTGCCAACTCTGTGGTAGCATAAAGCTGAAGACAGACATCAAAACATTAACTGAGAGAATGCAAAACAGACTTGAGAATATTTTGCACTTACCAGAGCCTTAGTCAGATTTGGAGAGGTCATAGCTGCTTTCAGAAATGTCTACATTGAAGTCAACTGTGCACAAGCTTTCGATACTTAAACTTCAAAGGAAGGAAATAACTCCACAGATATAATTCAGAACTAAACACTGCCATCTTGGCTTTTCTGAATTATTATTTTACAACTTGCCAAGTATTGTACATGCCACAATGAATTTAAGTAGCTGATTCCTGCTGTATACAACTTAACCCCAATCATTTACAGTTACATCAGACAGGATTGCAGATTTCATCTGATGCCTAACCTAATTCCTACATCACTGAGGCATATTAAACTCCGGGGAGGAATTCTCTCTGGATCAACTTACCCAAAAAATATCCTTATCATTAGGAAAATCTTGATCATGGGGAGTAGCATCTTGCCCTACTCTATCAGCCACACAACATTTCTGGTGCTATGGGGAATCCTGTAACTACACCATGACCACTATGACCATGTACAGGTTGCCACAGCATCTTGTTCCACGTGAAACAGAGAGCAGAGCCAAATGTAGCTCATAATCATCTGCAATGGGCTGTTTAGGACAAATCAACTTGGCCATAGATGTTGAGTTTTGAATGGATTCCTTTTCTTTTGAAAGAAAACACTGCAGAAGGACTTGCTGTCCTCTACAGCCAGCACAGTACTATACCAGTTAGGTTTGAAAATGTAGTTCCACCAACAATCTTGAATATGTTACTCTTTATTTCTGCAAGGAGAATAAAACCAATTCTACTTGCTTTAAGAAATATGCCTTAAATTATACCCACTGCTGGGTACACCTGCGTGTGTGTACTGTATTACAAGCACACCCACACTTCAAAAATATCATAGTGACACGTGTATATTTTTAAGGTGGGTTTCTTTCGTCTCCTTTTGTTCTGCTGATAATTTTCTCACTCTGTGTATGTACATGTTCAGATGTTATTGAACCACCAGGTGTCCAAACAAACTTAACTGACTCTTTAGCTATGTGAGGAAAATACCATTTTTCATATAATCTTACTACACCTCATGCTGTTATAGCTTAGTTTCCTAAGGCACTGAGGTTTATGTAATGGTGCACTGTGTGTGTATGTTTATGTGTATACATAACTTGACTCAGTCTCTTTCTAGTAACCTTTAATCCTGCTGGCCAGCCAGTGCAACGTAAAAAAAACTTGCCAGCCTCAGATATTTGAAGTTCCTCCAGCAAGAAAAATAGGCAAGTGAGGAGAACACCCTCATAAACTCTCCCACTGAGAAGGCTACAGCATGGATACCCTGGCTGAGTGCAGACTGAAATGTCCTGAAACCTAGTCCTGCAGAAACAATGCGAGCATGCATCCTGTTAGATGCAAACAAAAACCATAGGAAACCAGACTTCACCATCTCCACAGCTGTTGGATAATTTGGTTAAGATTTAGGGTGCCTATTGAGACGTGGCCACTGCCACATTCCTCGTTCAGGGGACCCCTACCCGATTCTTACATCACTGAAGCCTACCCAACATTAAAATTCCCTGCAGAGCAACTGGCACAAAAATAACCTGTATTAATGAAGATGTGGAGCCCTTCTGTAGGCCTGAGGGACATCATGCCCCACAAATTAACCTCTCATAGTACATGCCCTTTTCTTCCCTCTTTATTTAAGGTGCTCTACCTATATTAATTATTTTTATAATTCTCTACCTATACAATGACTGACAACTACAACACGTTCCAAGCTATGGCTGTGAATTCAGCAGCAAGGGGGGAGAGCTCATTGACCCCATCTGCTTTAGCTGCTGATGGTTATTATTAGCTCAGATCTACAGATAGCTCAGATGGGTTACTCAACTCCTTCTTTCACCTTTCTTTTCCCTGCAGTCCAGGGAATTGGCTACATTATCATGGCTACAGAGGCCCTATGCATAAACCAGTGTGTTGAAACGTCCTTTTTCCCAGTTTCCTAATCAGCTTGCAAAGGTGTACCTTCTTTTTGTGCAATCCATCCATGGTCAGAGGCCATGCTGGCTGTTCAGCAGCACAGCTGACCCATCAGCAAACAGACAAGGCTGGAAAAAGAGCATGCAGCTCCTACCAGCTCATCCAGCAGCACTGCTTCCTCATATCCAATTGGATGAAAATTGCTCTATCTTTCTAAAATGGTGATTAGAGTTAGATCAGCAAATGTACTGTTCATTTTCCTTATAGGAATGCCTTGTTCCTATAGAAGCATTACCTTCATACAGCCAGTAGGAAGTGTCCTGGGCTTTGTCAGTCATAGAATATCTTAAACTGGAAGGGACCTGTAAGGATCATGCAGTCCAACTCCCTGCTCCTCACAGGACTAAAATACAGGACACCAAAATATACGACAGCATTGCCCAGATAGTCCTTCATTTCTGTCAGGCTTGGTGCCCTTGCCACATCCTTTGGGGAGCCTGTTCCAGTGCCCAGCCACCTTCTCAATGAAGCACCTTTTCCTAATGTTCAACCTGAACTTTGCCCGATGCTTCATTCCATCTCCTCATGTCCTATCGCTGGTCACCAAAAAGGGGAGGTCAGCACCTCTCCCTTCACTGTCCCTTGGAGAAAGTTATAGAGCAATGAAGCCTACCCTCAGCCTTCTCCGAGCTGAACAAGCCAAGTGACCTCAGCTGCTCATTTAACCTTGGCAATACCTCCAGCCTAGGTGAATCGTCATCTTCGTCGTTTTGCTTCCAATTCCAGAGGCTCATGCATATTGTACATAGGATGAGCACAGATTAAATATTGCTCTATGGTAAGCATAACATGTGTTTTTCTGAACAAGATACACTAAAATTAGGTAACCAAACAGCACACAAAATAATCCCTTACTCAGAATTTCAAATGAGTATTTCTGTCAAGACCTATAACCGTGTCAGAGAACAGCAAGAGAAGGATTGTTTCATAACAGGGGATAAGCCAGAGGCCAAGAGTGATCCCAGTGCAAGCAACCCACAGGGTGAGAATAATATGGTCCAGTAACAATCCCCTACAAGGCAAGTTGATGAATCAAGTTCAGAGGACATTCCAGAGTCTAGTCATAACCAGCAGGAGGCAAAGCTAGAGGTCTACCTAGCAGAGCAGTCAAAGACAGAACTGAGTTCAAGCATACCCACAATATAATTCAGACAAGAACCAAAAGGCCAGGGCTGTGTTTAAATGAGGATTCTGGGCCCATTTTCAGAGGCCAATGTGAGTCTGATCTGGGCTATTAAGGTTTATTTGTGCCCTAAGGGCACTGAAAAGAGCTTGAAAATTTACCTCTGTTAAGGCATCAGGACAACATCGATTGCTGTTCACACAGTTTCCTCTCTGTGTCTGTCTGTCCATCTATTCCCCCAGAAGCAGCTTCCACAAAACCTCCTGTGGCCCAAAACTAACAGTATGTGACGGAGTAATCACAGTGTGCACCTGCATCAAGGAAAAGCCTCTACCAATACAGTGGGTGGAGCCACAGACAGTGACACCGGCTGGGAACTAATGATTCACAGGTGATGATGGATCACCACCCAGCACCAGAAACCACCTGCAGGACAGAGGCAAATCCATCGCTGATAAATTAAATGCTGTTTAATTTCTAGGTTAGCAAAGCAGGTTTATTGCAAAGAGTACCTGCTAATTGATCAGCTCTTTAGTTCAAAGACAAGCCGGCTTGCACACTCATGTTTTCTTGCAGTGGAAAGCAGTGTGTAGATGTGAGGCATGGGAGAGCAGGGAGAAGAATTCATGGAGACTTCAGTGGCAGGACCTATCCAGGGCTCCTGATCACCCCAGGAAGACAAACAAAGCTCCCAGGAACTGCAGTGCGCACAGAACCAGCTTATTCCATAACAGATAGCAGAGTCAGGGTGGAGAAACCAGCAAAGAAATAAATGAAATTTGATTTCCAGCATTACCTCCAAAGCCATGGATGCCCAACTGTAACACGGTCAGTTGTTGTGCTTGCCCAGTCTCTAAAGTCAATAGGAGGGCAAGCAAATGCTCATGAAAATGAGTTTACATATTGCACTTTGATACCATATCAACACAGTGGGGAATGACCCCTATTGAATACCTCCCACACCCTGAGGCATCACCACAAGATTCTTCTTATTGTTTGAACATTAAAGCTATCATAGGGTAAAGTGGTATTGCTGTGAGGTTAAAAGCCAGAGAAGGAGTCAGCCTTTTGGCAGTGTCATGTTCTCTTGATGATAAAAGCTCTTTGCTATCTCAGAACTGTGTTTGACAGAACTGTATGTTTTAAATGGACATTCTTTTCTCCCAGAATTGTCGTCTGTGTCGGAGGTCTGTTGTCACCATAGCCAATGGTACAAAAATATTTGTGTGAATGCAAGCACTGGAAAGGCAGAGAAAAAAACTTTTCCATTTTATCTGTTATGAAATTTCCAAAAAAGATGCTACAAAGAATGACTGCAGAAAAAAATTACCTTATTTTCTTTTTCTGGTGTGACACAGTGTCAAGTCATGCTGGCTTTGGCTGTAATCTTATCAACAGTATCTCATCCTTTAGGAATCTCTGCTACAATTTCAGCTGAAGTACCTTTCTGGAAAAAGAAGACTCTTGAGAAAGAAAAGCAGTTGTACAAGATGACCTAATAGCTGAATAATCTTTTCCCTTTAGGGAAAGCATGAAAAAACATGAAAGCTACCAAACAGGGTGATCAGAAATAACTGGAAATACGTGTCCTGAAGGGTGGGACGTGATAGATCCCAAGGGTCACTCAAAAACTCAGTTATTTTCTCCTTCTAAACATGGAGGTCTTTGGAGATCCACACTTCTCTTTTCATTGCTTTAATCTCTTTCACACACACACACACACACACACACATGCTCATTTACAAACATATAGTGCCAGGATCTAGACAGATATATACTGCTGATAGAAAATAAATGGCAGTATAGGAGCCCTAGAGATCCAAGAACTTTCCTGTTCTTATTTAAAGGCTTGTTACTGAACTGACAGACTCTCCCTTCAGGTATCTACCACACATATGTTGCCCAAGGATGCTTATTTTATACTCCATGTTGTTGAACATGTGTTTCCTCACGTTTTCTCTGCAGAGCTAATTCAGCATAATAACAGTGAACTGTAAAACCCATCCCTTAAACAGGACAATAGTAACATACCTTTTTTTTAATGAGGCCTTGTTAGCTCCCTGCCAAATAACACCTAAGCAAATCATCATTCATTAGGGAAGCTTGAGTAACTTGGTAAGGACTCAAATTTGCTCAAGAGTCTAAAGTTATCACTGGGCAAATGCCCAGTGTTTCTTCAGATTTGCAGGCGCAAAGAAAGAGTAGTTTTTCCTGAAGTTATTTTTGTATTTTTCTGCTTTGCAGATATGTATTTAAATACAGAAATTCACATGAACATAATACCTGAGAAGTTACTGCCTTAATAAAATCAAATATAGGAACT